TATTCATAGATATGTTTTCATTAGCGTATAATCACCTGAATATAGGATTCCTTATGTTTTCATTACCTTAGAATGAGCAGTTTTTATCTATAGCTGCGGGTTGCCTTCCATGGAGTCATGTTGACATGCATTATAAACTGTTGACTAATGGATCAAAATGTACAAATTAGTGTTTTTATCATGAATAAGTTAATGCCAGGGAAGTGCTTTTTTTACTCAAGTCACTAATCTTAAAATGTTGAAAGTTAAAGGTTTCTCCATGTTTATTACCCAGCTGAATAAAGTCAAATTTGAAGGCAGACACATCAGTTACTTTAGTTTCATAATTAAAGGACTCTATATTACTAGATTAGCTGGTACCATTTTTTTCCAAATGGGGCATATTTCAGCTTTAAACTGATCACCAGACTTGATGTAGAGAAGTTCTCAAGGACAAAGTTTTAGTAATGTTTGGAAAACTAATTATATTTACCACAAATAGCACTGAGACAGCTGCTGCTGCTTTTGCCAAACTTGGCTACACTCATATGGATTTTCTCATATTAGAAATTAATCTGAGGCTGGACTGACTGATTCTTATCATCACTCTGTGATCAACATAAGGGACACAATAGTATTCCCCCTCTACCTCATCTTATTTTCACTCGTTCAGCTTAAGGAGGACATTACAGATCCTAGTAGAATTGTAAGTAATGAAATATAGATAATGGATGATTGTTGTTGTCTGAAATAAATAATGATCAAAAAGTGAATGCAAATTAGAATTTGAGGAAATGAGATCTGCAGCATATGTGGGATATTATTTAAAAAATGCACCATTTTATCAAAACACTACAAAGATCAACTTGCTTAAGACAATCAAAACCTAAAATGAATCATAGAAAGTAATTTCTCTGGGATTATTATGATCTGAAATGTGTCCCTATCAACATCCGTGTATTCCATCAAAGAAGTAACACACATCACCGGGTTGTTATTGTGTAGAGATAGCAGGATGCCGAGATGTCGATAAGTCCTCTCCTCTTTTTTCCTGAAGTGGCCGTTTCAGATGAGCTCATGAGTTATGGAGGCTAATTAATATGGGCAGTGCAGAGTGTGACAGGCTGAAGGATGGCGTCTCTCAGCCACAGTCATTTCCCCTTATCTCCATCAGACACTCAGCAGCTTCAGCCTCCTCATTCACAGCCTCCCTTCAGTTTAGATGGGAGATTTGTACGGCTGCATGATGGTCAGAGTGGTCACAAACTGCTGCATGAAAAAAACAACCATAATCAGCTCTCCGTGTGAGCTGAATTGGAGACTCTTTTTTTTTTACCACTGACATGTTTTTGGATTCTCAGCCTGGTTTGGTTTCGTGAAATTATATTACTGACAAGATACTATTCATTATTCATTCAGGAGTCCTGGAGGTGATTAGGAAATTCAGTCCAGCCACTAAAAATAGACTCATGTTTTCTGTCAGCTGAATTTTTATCTGCTTTCTGAGTGGCGGAGCTCAGTTGCAGCCTAAGCTTCTTCGTGCTGTCAGGAGAAACGTTAGAGCCTGGCAGATCAAGAGAGCAGGTGATGGATATAAAAACCTGAAATAAATACATAAATATTAATATGTTTTGTGATTATGAGACTGCACAATCAGTAGTGAAATAGTCAACAACTATTGGCTGGTTTACTATAATATTTTATAGACATCAATAGTCCCAAGAAGATAAACTCTGATGACTTTATTAGAGTCTACTATTTATCAGCATTTATCAACATCAGTTGTGGGTGTTTTATGAAAGGATGGTCAGTGTACTTAGAGGCCAATGTATTTTAGTTTTGAAATGAGCAAACCACAACAGGAAATGAGCTGTTTCCTAACTACCATTTATATATATGGGGAACAAAATGTTTGTTTTTTTGTTCTGTTTTTCATTTTATTCGTTATTTTCAAAATGGGTAGTTTTTTCTTTTTCTCGTTTTAAACAAAAAATTGTTGGCCGTTTTTGCCGCCCTTTGTGGCCAATGGAGGGGGAAAAAAGTCCCATGTTTATCAAAGAAACAACATTTTTAACGATGCAGAATTCTTTGTTGCTGCAGAAGATCTTTACTTCATTCAGATAAACATCTGAAGCCAGTTAAATGTTATGTACATGGTGTACAATGACATTGGATTAACAATTGTTGACAACAACTTTAATAAACTTAAAAAAAAAAAAGTCTGTAACAAAACAATGTGCATTAAGATTACAACTACATTATAATGTTAATAAATTATGTTTAACTGTTTATGCTGGGTTTAATTGTTGAATGGAGAGTATTAAAATAAAGTGTTATTAAGTCAGTGACTTCTCTTTTTCTTCATTCCCAACAAAACTGCACATACTACATCATACTTCAATCAAAAGTTGGATAAAAACAATCCACCTGAACTTTGTGTCTTCAGTCCAACAGATAAATGTGAGTTGACCTTCAGTCTGACACACGGCTTTAAATCTCGTATCGCTGCCAGGCTAAATCATTTGTCTGCAACGGTGCTTTAGCTATAATCCATTTTAGACCATTCAACAGCAACAAGGCATGTGAATGGCATCAGTTACAGATAATTCTCTTACAAACAAAGCCCTGTTTAGAATCATGAGTTCTTCTTTACACAATCAGGAGGAGCATAAATTACTCTTAATTTCATCGTCAAAGCAACTGATGTGGGGTTACATCCATGCAATTCTGTAGAGTTGACTGCATTATGTGGGTGACATAATTTCTGTGGCAACGCAGCAGCAGGTCACAGTGACATTTTCATGGTATATGTAGCTACAGACCTGACTGGAAAATGGCTGGTTAGAGGGTTAAGAAATGTTTGCTGCATAATGAAAACCAATGATTACAGTCTTCATCTAGTCAGGCCAAATTTTCACTATGTCCAGTATGACCAGATACTCTCAAAACTAATGACATCAGCTGCTGTACTTTGTGTTTAGTGCTAATTAGCTAAAGTTAGTATGCTAACACTAACTAAAATCTAAATATGGTAAAAATGTACTGTATATCTGCTAAAACATCAGCATGTTAAGGCAACGTCAGGTGTTTTGAGACGAATTCCGGGTACATTCTGGTAGGAACTGCTCCCCTGAGAACTATATACCTTCAAGGGCTTTTTTTCTCTTTGCACTCGCACTGCCATGTGAGCCTGAGCCTAAGGTTACAGGCGGTTGTTTGCTGCTGCATTGGCTCCGACCAGTCAGCATGCACTTATGTCGCTCAGGGGTCATCCACCTGTTCTTAGAACTATGCTCCAGTCCGAAAATGCTTATTGTCATTTTGAACATGTTTAATGCTGACATCTGAATTCATTTTAAAGCACCGCTTTGCCCTAATCTCAGCCGAAAGGGCCTAAATATTTGGGGGAAGGATGGTCAGGCTGAGCGACCTTGCGCTTGTGTTCTACTCTGTCAACAATTCAAATTAAAACACAGATGATTTCCTCAAAAAATATACGAGTACTGACTGTACTGTATACTACTGAGTTTGCATTTTTGAAATCTGCAATATGGCTTACCTTGTGTCTCAGTCATGTAACACGTTGACCTTAGTGGGAAGTTGATCTGTGGGAAAAGGGAACAGAAACCACAGAGGATGAAGGTCTGGAGCCTGAGAGAGAACCACCTCTCTGTGATAACTAATCGTTACTGGTGGATTCCAGTTTGTTTCTGGCCGAAAATTACCTGAAATCTGAACCGAACACTTACAGTAAAGTACAGTAAAGGTTTGTTCAGACCAATCAGAGCTAAGTATAAATTAAACATTTGACGACATGGGCAAAAGGAGCATCCTGTTTTCTGCTCAATAAGTAACTCTGCACTTAAACATACATTCATTTTTGCTGTTTGTTATAAATCAGTAGCAGCATCTGATATTGACTTCCTTTTACCTTCTCAGATCCAAGGTAAGTGCACATTTAGAGATGAATGCTTAGATCATTGAATATAATACTGTATATGGTATATAAATGTTCTGCAGATTCAACTAACTAAAGTTCAAATTCACTACAGTTTTATTTACAGTCTTTGTACAGATTATTATTCCAGTAAAACTAAATGATCTCATTAAAACTTAAATGCTTGGATTACCTCAAGCAAGCTAACTTTTGTGCACACTCCAAACCTCAAATGAGATTTTAATGATGTTTGTGGCTTAACAAATGCTTATAAATGTCTCCTCTAAACAGGAGAAATTGCGAGACCATTATAGGAATGGATTCCATGGAAATCGATGACGACGTATATATCAATAAGAACCTGACAATGGAAGGCCTCATTACCAAAGGTACAATATTAGTCATTAGAGTATTAGATACAACTGCAAAAAGTTTTGGAAACTAACCTGTTGATTAACTTAAATTTTAATATCTTTTCATATTGGTGCCGCACTGTATAAGTAGTTCATAAAAACTTTTATATTTGGGTTTCTAGGGAACTGTGAGGGTGCTCCTATTTCACAGAGAGAATCTGGTCCGCTGTCTCTTATAAATTATGTTTAACTGTTTTCTTTCTTTGATTTAGTGGATTTTCAGAGAAAAAAGCAGCCCTCTAGATGTGTGAATGTGTGTCTTGGATTACTGTGCGCCGTCCTGTTGGCTGGTAACATTGCACAGATTATCTACTGTAAGTGAATAAAACACAATAAAAATGTGTGTAGCAACTGCTGCCTGGCATTTAATGTTTTCAGGTCCAGCTGACGTTGTAATGTAGATAAGTATATGAAATACCAAGGAGAGAAAAAATATTTTCAAAATCCAACAATCTAAGCAAATTCCTTTATTTTATTTTTTTCACAGATCAGATAATCAGCCATTTTGCGTTGGCAGACCCAGCGCAGGCCAGTTACAGCCCTGAAGGAGGTCAACTGCAGAGCAGTTACGATGCTTTAACTGCAGAGAGAAAAGAGTTAGAGGCCAGATTGAGTAACCTGACCAAGGAAAAAGACGAGCTGCAGGAAGTTTACAATTCTGTGACTACTGAAAGAGATGACTTCAACGCCAGGTTTAATAATCTGAAACACGAGAAGGACCAGTTACAAGCAAGTTACAGCACCTTAAAACAAGCGAGCGATCAATTAAAGATGAGCTATAATGACACGCAGAGGAATCTTGAGTGGTTACAGACTAATCACCATAATCTGACAGCCATTAGAGACCAGCTACAGGTCAATTACAATAACCTACAAAGAGAACATGATAAGTTACAGACTTTTTTTCATCGGTTAGAGGGGAATTACTCTTCGCTCAATAGGGACAGGGAGCAGCTGCTAGGAAACTACAATACACTGACTATGAGTAAAAATCACCTTCAGATCAGCTATAATTCAATGTGGAAAGAAAAAGAACAATTGAAAACTAGCTACAATACTCTACAGAAGGAAAAAGAGCTTTTACAGACCAATTGCAGCAGCTTGGCTATAGACAGAGATCAGCTACAGAAGAAGATCGACAAAGCAAGAAGAAGTAAGGTGTTTCTCATACAAGTTTAATTCAATCAGTGTTTTTGTATTCCTAGCCTTTTTGTGATATTTTATGCCTCTCCATGTTGCAGAAATTGTCTGTCAGACAGGCTGGTTCAAGTTCGACATCAGCTGTTACTTTGTTTCAACTTTGAAGAAAAACTGGACGTTAAGCAGGCAAGACTGCATCACCAGGGGAGCAGATCTGGTTGCCATAGACGGCATGGATGAACAGGTGAGAAAGAAAGAATAAACTTGGAGACATCAAAAAAACATGTTGTCTTCAAGAATTAATGGAGCAGTTTAGCAGCATGGTTGTAAAGCAGAAGCAAACATGGTGTTTTATCTCTCAGTGTTTAAATGGGACCAACTATAGATGCTGACACATGGAAAGGGGTTAAAGATGAACCAGAGTGAGAGCTTATGGGTAGATCGATGTGAGGAGCTGTTTTCTGCAACAAACTACACAAATTGCAAAAGTAATAAATGAAAAATGTTTAATATTCCAAGAAAGAAATGTAGCGTTCTGGTCAGAATCTCTGGATTTTAATATGCTAGGAGATAGTTTGGCATAGAGTAGAAACTGGAGAGGAAGAAACAGCTGTTTTTAGCACAGCTCACGAAGGGCGATGAGCGAGTACACCATTATCTGTATGTGTACTCAGAATGGGTGGGGCTTAAAGCAGACATGGGCGGGTCTAACCAGAAGTTGTCCAGTTAAGCCTAAAATTGATACGGGTTAATCAGAAATTGCTTAGAAAACTATTTACAGAACAGCCTCAGAATTGAGCTTCAGAGCAATGTTCCTGATCACAGAAATAGGAGAACTGTTTACAGAAAAAAAAAGTACCTAGATTTATTGTGTATTAGAAAACAGATATTGACGCATTTCACTCTGCTAGTACTAAAAACTAAGTTACATGTACCGGATACTCAGCAGTAGTACTTGCTCGAGCCTACAGCTCACACTGTTTCCCAGTTTGACATATATCCTCTTTACAGTACTTGTGTGTGACTTGTTGGCAGCTGAGAGAGGTGGCTGATTGATCGGTTTGGGAAATCATTGCATTTGATTAATGACTCTGCTTGGCTAACAAATAATTATTATACAGTCCTGAATTGACATTCTCATGAGTTAAGCTCTGCCTTTTTTTTTCATTGTCTTCTCTATGTGCTACACTAACAGGTATTTGTCCATCGGTTACTGAGAACTGGCCAAAATGCCTGGATTGGTCTGACTGACAGTCTTAAAGAGGGGACTTGGATGTGGGTGGATGGGGAGCCAGTAACAACATCGTAAGTTTTAATTTCCAGAGTGTCTGAAGTAAAATATCTCATAGGATCATGACATTTGATGACAGAACAACTGGTTTCTTAATGAACCATCTTCATTTACTGTATTAAGGAACTCAGCTCTGTAATGTTCAGTTTCTTTCACTGATTGTATCCTTGTATTTTTTAGTAAGAGCCTTCAGTTATTAAGCAATTCATATTAAGGATTTTAACCTTGACTCTGACAGGGGTCACATTTGGATAATACTTTGAGAACTGCACTGAAGTTCTGTCAAAATCTGTTTCGGTTTTGATCAACAGTGAGGGCATGTAGAAAATGTAGGGAACATTTTTAATGCATTTTCAGCACAAAGTACAGCACATTCAGCTCAAAGATCTGTTCCACTGTACTGTCAAACTGAGACCTTACACAACTGCACCCACAGAGACATTGATTTCACTGAAGTTCATTATCTTGTGTGAATGTGTTTCAGAACACACAGGGGTGGTAATGGAGGCGGTTTAAAAAATCCCATGATTACTTGAAGCCTCTGCATATTACTATTTCTATGCAAATGAGTTGGTCAGAAGCAACAGGTTGAGAAACAAAACCTGGATGCTGTAAAAAGCATTTCTCTCTGTGTTATCTTTATATCAGGTACTGGCAGCCCGGGCAGCCCAACAGCTATAATGGGAACCAGGACTGTGGAGAAATGGTGGAGAAATCGGGAATGGGAGAATGGAACGATGATGGCTGTTTTGCTGAACAGATCTGGATCTGTGAAAAATAACATTGCAATGATTTTCACAGTTAATGAAGGTGTGAGGCTTTGGTCTGTGGTTTATATCTTCAATATTTATTATATTGAATATATTATATTATTACTTTCCCTTAAAATCATCCCATTGTTAGTTTGCCAAATTATCATTAGCTTTCATGATTTTAAATCTAAACTTTGAAGCAGAACATTGTTAATAATTTCATAAATTTGATATTCAACTGGTGAATATAGTTTGTGCGTGTGTAATCGAATATAAATTGCTTGGTTATACTAAAGCAGATTTTCATCAATGTCCAGTACTGTAGTGTTCATAGCTTTAGATGTGTTTGCAAATTTCTGTCTGATTATTATGCATGAAATGAGTACATTTTATAAATCATGTATGCTACAAAGCACATTTATACAACATTTGCATATGGTATTAATAATTTACTGAACCACTCTCTAAAGATTACAGGCACAAATTAATGTCCATCTCTCATCATAGTCAAATTAATAAACAAATTAAACTATTTTCTCTTCCTTGGGTACGTACATTGAACTTTTTACTGTATGGTCAATGTGAATCTAATTACAACAAGAAAGATTATGATATATGTGATGAAAATGTCTTTATTCTTAATTAAAATGGATTCCACCAGACCCTGGGAATAGAAGGAATTTGAATTTTACAAGAATGAAATCCAATCATGTGAATGCCATTCATACAGTATAGTAGCAGAATTTAACTTTAACTTTAAATCTGTCTCTGCAGTGCTAAATGTGCAAGAGCTCCCCTTTTAATTTACCTACATTAATCCTGTTGTTGTGCATGTACACTGTTGTGTATTTGACATTGCGCAAACACACTTGAGGTAATGTCTTCTTTCTTTTTCTTTCCCTTTATAGACCACTGGTTGGTAAACTTTAGCACACTGTGTGCAGTTTAGTGGGTTCTGGAGTTAAGTAAACTTACTATTGTCGTATTTTTAAAGCGTAGCGGCTGTATTTGACGAGTTAGGAGTGAGAACGTGTTGGCTTTGGATAATTTGATTATAACTTGAAAGTGTCATCTTGAAATGACACGTTCTCCCTCATTGAATAATCCATAATCTATGAATATGCTAATATTGTTTTCTTGCTTCATAAGTTTATTGTCAGTGTTCATGCACTGGAGTAGACCCTTTTGCAGGACTGTTTTTATCCTGCACCCGTGATAGATTTCTAGCCACATCCGAGTTTAATTTTTGACTGCCAGCTCCCAGGTCACATTAGTGCGAATTAGTAACAGCAAGGTAGGCTGATTAGCATCTACTTGGAAAGTGGAAGCTAGCCAGCATAGCTAGTACATTACCAAGGCAGAAGTTGAAAGCACCTTTACAAGCAAGGCCAGCTCTAGGATGTCAGTCAAACTCGGCCATCCTGTATTTGAAATATATTTCAAAAATGTTTTATTATATTGTGAAAAAAGTGCTGTATCATCATAGTTTATATTTCCTTACACAAAGTCAGAAGAATTACTTTCAAATGTTTCATATGGCCGTTCAGTTTGCTACCCTGTTGCTATGGACTGAACTTGGAAAAGTAGCCTCATTTATTTAAACACATTAGGTCATCAGACTAATGCACATGCAACACCCTTTTAACTGTTTTTAAAACCTTTTTTTCTGCTCTGTGAGTCTAACCAGACCAACATGTCTGGTTGAGGCTCCTTGATCTTTTATTTTTAGCCAGGCGGCCTAAATCGTAACCTCACCACCCGCCGAGGCCCTGGGGGGAGCCCCATCTCACCACCCGACCACAGACGGTTTGGATCGGACTCATCTCTTAAGGAGATTGAAAGGCTTGGTCCAATTAATGGTTGAGATGCCCCCTTCAAGAGCAGCCGCTTTGAATGCAACCGCCACCACACCCAAAATGAGCCACATGCCAGAGCATGGTGTCTCTGCCCGCTAAATACATCTGCTCTGTGTACTGCTCACATGTGCGTGATTCTAAAACGTGCTCTGTCTTTCTTCTGTGTTATGTAACATGTAGTCTGGTGTGGCTGCAGAGAGCGTTGTCAGCACTTGGTATTTGTCAGTGCCTTGTCATCTGTTCAGGGCGCAGCAGGGTGACTGACAGGCGGAGGTGGACACAGTAGAAGCAACACCTTCATGATATGATGCCATCCAGTGCAACAGTTCTGCAATAAATGCTGCTCGTCCAATTTTCTTGTGTTCACTTTCTGTTGCTCTTTATCAGAGAGGCTCTGATTTAACATTCATTCTTCAGTTCACAGTCATTGTTTGTCCCACCCAAGACCTCCCTATTCATTTTTATTAGTTTTAGCCAACTTATTTAGCCACAATTACAGAATGGATCATGTATTATGCACATTAAATTCCCAGTCCCCTTTTACCGTTTACAGTATATCTTTAACTAGGAGAATATAACAATCTTAAAGCTTCACTTGATATATTATATTACATATATTTCTATATTACTCACAGACCATAGTGAAATGTAACTAAGTACATGTATTTAAGTATTTAGTACTTAGTACTAGGTTCTATGTCACTTTATACTTTATACTGCTCCACAACATTTGTGGCAAATATTGTTCTTTTTACTACATTTCTTTAACAACATTATTTAGAAAGTATATACATAAACTTATAAATTACAATTTATTGTTATGGATGAAGCTACCTGGCAGTATATGGAGTAATTGAAATTAGCTCCACTTTAATTTACAGATGAATTCATCACTAATTATAATACAATCATATATCTAATATACAGTATTCTATAGGAATCAGCCATTCTGCATAATGACTTCTTGTATTTTAGGTATATTTTAATTCTAATGATTATGGACTGATAATTGTTTATTTATTCTAAATGCAGGACCTCTGCTTGTAACTTATTGTATTTTTGCACTGTGGTATTGCTACTTGTATAGGATTTTTATTACCATTAAAATAGGGTTAAAACTCAATTGATGAAATTGATCACCAAAAAGACAAATATAAAGCTATAGAGAATGAATGGTGATAAAAAGCAACTGCGTTTAAAAATGGACCAAAAAAAGAAAAACACACACAAAAGACTTGTAGTTTTCCATGTTTTGCTGTCTAAACATTTTGTTATGGATTCACAAAAGTTTTCTACTGTTATCAACCCTGCAAAGTCTAAAGTTGGGGAAATTGTTTTCTTTGAGCATGAAGCATGAAAGTGTTGTCTTGACCTTTTGTTCTTCAGTATAATATTTCCATACATCATAATATTCCCTTATCTTGTGCAGTGCTTCTTGTCTTGTCACAGACATACACATGGTAGGGGATGCAGGAGAAGAATGTACGTGTCTATACATTTTTAAATGGGGGAATATCAGTATACTCTTAGTGGTAAACGTGATGTGTCTTACATAAAACAGTGGAAGTTTTACATGCTTCTCTATCAAGACCCTACGCTAACATGCAGAGCTTAACACTATAGTTACCCACCTACGTCTGTACAGTCTGGCTCGACCAACCAGTATGAGCTGCTAGTGCTACTGCGTATTGAGCCTCAGCTTTGGCACCTTTAGTCTCTCTGGTGGTGAGAAGGTGTTTGACCCTCCACTGCATGTGCAGCCATCATTCACATCCTCATTTGATGGCACAAAAAAAAGCAACAACAAAGCTTTTAGCATTGTGATTTGCTGTATATTTCTTTATTTTACAATGCTTCTGCATTGACAAGCACAAGTGTTTCAGCTGCTGCCTTCCTTAGTGTGCAGGCGTGTTATCGAAATGACCCTGATTACTGTGCGAGTCTGCAGATGGCAAAGGAGAAAGGAAATGTTTCTAGGCAACAGAGGCCCAGTCTACAAAGGGGAGCAGGCCAGGAAGTGTTAACAAATTTGTCAGAGTGTGAGCTGAACAAGATTATTTTTACCTATTTAGGACATCTGTGTGTTTCCTGCGAAAATAGATTACTTGAGTAACCAGGTAAAAGATAAATCATTTTAACAACCTGGTATTCTGCAAATATCCAAATGATGCAAAACACCAAATGTTGTTTGTGCTTTGTAACATACATTTATACAATCATTGCATGCATATTTATTAATCACACAGATGGTAATTTGCAAACATATCTAAAGGCATGTCCACAGGATAGTATAGTAAAATATAGACATTGATAGCAAAATCTGTTTTGTACAACCAAGCAATTCATACTTCATCATATCAACCACACTAACACTAACACTAACTAGATAGTAAATTTACACAATATTAAAATAATAAAACAATGTTCTGCATCAAAGTTTACTACTTAGCAAGTTAACTTATTTGGTTTGTGAACAAGAAATGTGATAATTTAAATGAAAAAGTGAAGAATGGGTGCAAAGTCCATTTGTGTATGTTTCCCACTATATGGCCCTCGGTCTTCTCCCTCTTAAGTGAATAATAATTACTCTGTAACCAGGGGCGTTTCCAGAGGGGGCACTGGCCACCACAGGTGCCACACCATTATCCTTCCCTCTTCTACTCCGGGCAAGTCTTTCAGAGGCTAGCGGGCTCAGTTTTAACGCTAGAACACATCCAATGGTACCAACCAGGCTTGCTTTACAGGAAGGGAAGTTATGTAAAATTTTGGCGTGGGAAAAACTGGCATGGCCATTTTCACACTGGTCCCTTGATCTCTGACCTCAAGATATCTGAATGAAAACAGGTTCTATGGGTACTCACATGTCTCCCCTTTAGAGACATGCCCGCTTTATGGTAATCATAAATAAATCAGCCCATGCAGTTTGGGGCAAACGCCATGCAGTTTTTTGCACATGGTATGAATGTGTTATTTTTGCTTTCTGTATTTGAATATTTCTACAGACTGGGGTCCATAAACAGTGTTGGACTGCAAAATAAATTGGGAATGACTGGAAAGAAAATTCTTCATGCCACCCCTGCATAAGTCAGTGGCCAACTTGTGCCCCCCCCCCTCCAGTCAAAAAACAATCTAACTCCTCATTTTCTCCTTGCAGCTTCCTGTAAACCCTTAATATTCATCTGCAGGTTCTTATAATTCTATTGCTCTCTTGTTTTAAGGTGTTGTAACTTTGCTACAACTGGTCTATTTTATCAGGTTATTGAGTCCATCCCCAGCTGACGTAGGGCGGCTAGCATCTGTGAAACGCAAAGACATTTTTAAAATGACAATTTGGAAAACGATTTTACGTGTTTAGATTATTGGATTTTGAAAAGATTTTTTTTCTCGCATTTGAATTACATTTGTAGTGACAACAAACAAATCACTTACAG